GAACCCACAAACAGAAACTTGACATCTTCGAGGACAGGGTGTCTGCCAAGCGCTTGCCCTATCGCCTGGAACTGCCCCGCAGGGAATGCCAAAAGGCTCGAGTATTAGCTGCGCTAAATTGCAAAGGTTGCTAATACGGGAAAACGGGTACCCGAGCCCCTATGCACTCGACAACCTGCTTCCACAAGTCAGTCCGAACTTCCTCGTCCCCTGCTGCACTGCCTGGCTACATCCTTTTTTCAGACGAATATGCTTCTTTTTGTTCGATATTCGATGATCGTGCTATCAGCATCTTTAGCCCCAGAAGAAGGCTCGATAATAGACACGTTGCATCGGCTAATCAGGATTGGCTGAGTGCTGTGTGTTTAATCAATTGTTACAGTACCCCCCCAATTCACCAAAAGCTGATCGATTGTAATCGATCGTAATCGAGTGTAATCGTTTGGATTAGAATGCAAAGAATCTGTGGCGATAATCTGCATCGCCGACTGCGCGGTTATCTCTTCGCACGTGAAGTGTCATGCTTTCGCCTCTTTAGCTCGTCTTGATCGTCGCGCTCAGGCGCGCGTTTGGTGCTTCGCTTCTTCTTCGATTGCTCGTCGAGGTTCATCGGTTGCGCGTCGATATCTGCTTCTTCTCGGCGCCTGGGCGATGGTCGTGGCGCATCGACGCGTCCTTTGCGTCTTTTCGGTACCGGCTCCGCCGCGGAGTCTGATTGCCGCTTCTTCGCTGGCGTTGGCGCCGTCTTCCCGACCTTCGCTGCTGATGTCGGCGTTGATGTTGCGGGTTCTCGCTCGTCTTCCTCTGCTTCCGGCAGAACGAGCACCACGTTCTCACGTTTCGCCTGTCTCGGCGCTGGCGCGGGACCCTCCGGCTCCGCCTTCCTCTTCTCCGTTGTTGTTTCTTCACCTCTCGCCACGGCCGCCCGGTGGTGCCCTTTCCTGCAGCAGTGCCCGGGTCTCCTACTCCTCAGGTCGGCGTGTTTCTTACAGCCGTCGCACGTCGGCATGCCATGGTCGAGGCATCGGTGGTGATGGTTGCGACAGCACTCCGCTGTCGTCTTACACGTGGCGCACTGCGTCATCCGGTGCTCGGCACACATTTTTACGGCTAGGCCATCACCCTCCGTGTGATGGGCCTGGCAGCACCACGCCACCGACTTGCCCCGGCGCTTGCACACGTCGCACTTCACCTTTTGGTGCCCGGGGCACACCCGCTCACCCCACTTTTCGTGTCGGGGAATCCCTTCCGGCACGAGCCACGGATCCCCTCCGACGACAGCCGACTTCTTGCCTCTCTTCTTCTCCGTAGCGTCATCGAAGGCCGCCCATCTCGCCGCACATTACGCAGTGTAATCGGTTCGACCTTTTTGGCTTGGGTCTATGGTGCAGAGTTTTGGTTCGCTTTTCCTTGGGTTTGTGATCACGGATGGACTACAGATAGCCTGGTGCTCTGCATCTTGTTCAGGCCCACACTATCGGTCCCCGGGCCTATCTCTCACGGATCTCTTCATCGGAGCTGAAAGCGAGCAAAATTTCGTCGAAAACGTGCCGTGTCGTGGACCAGCGAAGAAATTTCACCAACCAGGGAATCGATTCCCGCCGTTCCCAATAAAAACCTACCCCCAGGTTTCCGCGCCCGGTGCTCTGCATCTCGCAAGGTACCACGAACCCCGCGCTTACTCGCAGGCCCCCGAGCCTATTTTCACGGATCTCTTCATCGGAGCTGAAAGCGAGCAAAAAATCGTCGAAAAAGTCTGCTACGTGAAAATGTTACCAACCAGGGGATCGATTCCCGTTCTTCCCAACGGTAACCTGGTGGTTTCCACGCCCGGTGCTCTGCACCTTGTAAGGACCCACGAACCACGCACATACTTTTTGGTCTTCGGGTCCATTTTTTGACGGATCTCTTCATCGGAGCTGAAAGCGAGCAAAAAATCGTCGAAAAAGGTCTGCTACGTGGACCAGCGGGAAAATGTTACCAACCAGGGGATCGATTCCTGTAGTAGGCAGTTTCTTCCCCACTAAAACCTGGTGGCTTCCCCGCCTGGTGTCCTGCAGCATGCAAATACCCACGAACCAAGCCCGTAGTTGTTGGTCCCCAGATCTATTTTGCGCCGTTCTCTTCATCGGAGCTGATCTCGAGCAAAAATTCGTCGAAAAAGGTCTGGTACTGTGGACTGGCTTCCACGAGCCAGGATCCGGCCCACAAGCGTACTTCAGGAGCAACCAGACAGTGGGGGAGCTGGGGGGGGGGGGGTTCAACTCAAAAAAGATCTGCTCAAAAAATCGAGATCGGAGCCCAAAATATGGTTTCATTGACATTTCAATGATAACCCTCAGGATGGAATTGAACGAAGATTAATTATCTGATAACTCTCGGCGACGTCGAAGGACACTGGACGAGAGCACCAGCTCAACTCCCTCGCATTGAAAGGCGAGAAATTTGTGTCTTGGTGTGGCGCGAGACAGATATGCAGAATAATCGCGAATGCAGGAGGGCAGATGAGACGAGGATCCAGATGTGGAGACGAGGTGCAGACTGACGCGAGCGAGTGTGGGAACCAGGCATGTTCAAGGAGATAGTGGATCGTCGGCGTACCGAGTGTCTAGAGGCACGCTCGGGGACGAGTCAGTTTCCGAACGCCATGTGCTGGAATCAGGCATGCGCGGGAGGAGGTGCCGGGCGTCTGGAATCAGGCCCGCGCACGTTGGCCCGCTGGCCGTCATGCGTCTGGAATCAGGCATGATAATGGTCAGCAGTACCGAGCGTCTTGAATCAGGCTCAGTACGGGTCAACGCTCCGAACGCCATGTGCTGGAATCAGGCATGCGCGGGAGGAGGTGCCGGGCGTCTGGAATCAGGCCCGTGCACGTTGGCCCGCTGGCAGTCATGCGTCTGGCATCAGGCATGATAATGGTCTGACAGCAGTACCGAGCGTCTGGAATCAGGCTCAAAAGCGGACCAGCAACAGAATGCCACCAGCCAGGGGATCGATACCGTCCGTGTTCAATGCACACCTGATCAGGCTGGTGGTTTCTCCGCCCGGTGCCCTGCAAATTGTAAAAACTACTGACCACGCACATAGTTTTCTGTCTCCGGGTCTATTTTTCACGGATCTCTTCATCGGAGCTGTTCGCAAGCAAAAATTCGTCGGAAAAGGTCTGCTATGTGGACCAGCGGGAAAATGTCGCCAACCAGGGGATCGAAACCCGTTCTTCCCAGTGCACACCGGTGGTTTCCACGCCCGGTGCCCTGCATCTTGCACGGACCCACGAACAATGCACATACCTTTTCGTTTCCGGGTCTATTTTTCACAGTTCTTTTCATCGGAGCTGATTGCGAGCAAAAATTCGTCGAAAAAGGCCTGCCGCGTGGTCCGGCGGGAAAATGCCACCACCCAGGGGATCGATTCCCGTCCTTCTCAATCCACACGTGGCGGCTTCCACGCCCGGCGCCCTGCAACTTGTAAAGGGCCCCGAACCACGCACATAGTTTTTCGTCTCCGCGTCTATTTTTCACGGATCTAAGTCTCACACTGCTCTGGGAGCTTATTTCGCCCGGTTTGCGAAGAACTCCTTCTATTCGACTTCGAGAAGGCCTTCGACAAGGTCAATCGAAGTGAGCTCCGAGAGATTTTGATGCAAAAAGATACCCCAGCCCGATTCATCAACTGGACCAATGCCTTCCTCGCAGGAAGGAGTGCGGCGGTAAAAATCGATGGCTGCACGGGGAGGCGCTCGAGACTGGAGCTCGGGGTGCCGCAGGGGACTGTTCTCGCTCCCACACTCTTCCTGGCATTCATCGATGAACTGGCGAAGGCACTCCTGAAGCTAGACTGCGTCCCCTTATTGTACGCCGACGACCTTGCCGTCATTGTCACGGGTGACTCCTTAGGCCTGGTAGAGAAAGCTGCCCAGCTTGTGCTGGAGAAGGTGAATGAGTGGTCCTCAACGCGTAAAATGGTCATTTCCACGGAGAAGACGGTTGCACTACTCTTCCGGCCTCGAGACTGCCCTGTGGAGCGTTTGAATCTCCATCACCCCGCAACCCGTTCAATCGTCATCGTTCCACCTGTGCAAGGAAGTGCTACAGCTCCTCCCACATCCTCGGGACTCACACATCTACCCGCCGACGGGCCTCCCGCCGGTCCGCCAGCAACTCCCCCACACCCAGCAGATCAGTTCAATGGTTTGGTGGTTGTAGACAAGGTGCCCGACCCACGCCGACCCTCCTACTGCCTTTCCTTCACCGTTGCACGCCCGGTTAAACTCGTCACGGAACACGCTTTCCTTGGCGTGGTTCTTGACACGGACCTTACCTACCGCCCGCAGGCCGAGGCCGCCCTTAAGTCCTTTAGAATGCGTCTCAACGCCCTGGTGAAACTTTCGTTCTCGCCGATTGGTCGGTGCTACAGCACAATCCGGACAGCCTACCTCACCTTCGTCGCCGCCAAGTGGAGGTACGGGCTGGGTGTCTGGGGCTGTCTCATTCCTGACGACCTCGTAACGCAGTTTGAGACACTGCACTACAACCGTTAGGCTATGTTGCCAAACCTCGGGCCAATTTCAATTTCAATTTCAAAAATTTGGAAACCGCACCCGGGTTAGGCTTGGGGATACGGTGCTAAGGTTCCTTGTGCCTCCTCTTCATCCTTGGGGCGTTTGTTTGTTTTCTGTTTTCTTTGGTTCGTTCTTTGTTCTTGGTGGCCAAAAAAAAAAGGGCCAAAATTCGCTTTTAGCGCCTGCTCAGTTGGAATTGTTATCGGAAAGTGCGAGATCGTCATTTACTCGTTTCCAGTGTCCCAGGACGGTATTTCTGCTCTCTCAGAGCTTATTTCGCCCGGTTTGCGAAGAACTCAAAATGAGTCCAAAATTCTCACTCGGTAGTGAACAAAAAAAATTTCCGCCATTTTTTTAGCCCATGGTCCAGAGGTTACCACACCCACACAGGGGTTTGTGGGTCGGTTTCAGACGGAAAATCTGTGTGGGAAAAAAAAACAACCCCGTGCGGGACTCGAACCCGCAACCTTTGGATTCGAAGTCCAACGCGCTATCCATTGCGCCAACGGGGCTTCTGACAAAAAAAAAAAATTCCAATTGCGGCCGCGCCAGGGGAGTGCCGCCTCTGCGGGCACGGGGCGACCGACGTCATCGGCTCGCACGCCCAAACGTGTTTCGGCAGCGGCCGCCGGACGCGCCTGCACAACGCGCTTCGGGACATTGTCGCCGACTTCGCACGTCGAGGGCTGCTGGGCCCCTCGATCGAGCGAGCCGTGTTCGCGAACACGCGGCGCAAGCGCCCGGACATCAGCTACGTCCGGGACGGCACCACCGTCCTACTTGACGTCGCAGTCACATACCCCCTACAGGGGCCAATTACCATTCCAGCACCATTTTCAAACTTTTTGCCCATTCCAGCACTATTTCCAAACTTTTTGCCCATTCCAGCACTATCGCAAACTTTTTGCCCATTCCAGCACTCTGCCCAAACTTTTTGCCCATTCCAGCACTCTGCCCAAACTTTTTGCCCATTCCAGCACTATTTCCAAACTTTTTGCCCATTCCAGCACTATTTCCAAACTTTTTGCCCATTCAAGCACTATTAGTATTACCACCCTTTACCAATATTATGGCAAAATCAACACTGCAATTTCCATACCTTCGGGTTTTACCATCTGCAGGGGGGGGCTAAATACACGGGAGCCAAGCTTCACGTGTTCGGCGGTACTGCAGCCACGGGCCTACGGGTCAAGTGGCTCCCGATTTCCCAGACTAAAGCATCAAGGCTTGGCGCACCTCTTGGCGCTCGCGCTGATTCGCGGCTGAACGCAAGCTCGTCGAGACGGTCAGCCGCAGGGCAGAGCGGACGGGGTTGTGGCACTGTGCTGCCTCCGACTCAAGCTTTGCAAGCTGTGGTTGACCGTCACGTTCCTGGACCAGGAGCGGCCTTTTTCTTCTCTTCTTTCTTCTACAGAAGTCGCCTTGTCATGCGGCCAAGACGGAGACAGTCCGGACAACACGTAGCCAAGCTGCACGAGCCGATTTCGTCCAAGGGCGCCCACCAAAGCGCCACCTACAAACGCTCCGCCGACGTGCGCCACCTACACTACGGGTCGTTCCAAAATCACTCTACAGTAGGAGTCTACTTCTCCACTGATTTTGCGGAATCTTCTACGACCGGCAGGCCGCAGCAGTAGATGGCGACGCCACAGCACTGGGCGTCGCCCTTCGCGACCCGCCGACCACTGATGACAAAACCGGGTTCATCACGCTACTTAGTACGCTTGCGCAGTGGCTCGTAATAGCCTACAAAGGTTTCACAACAGTCACTGACAGCTTGACAAACGTGTCACGCAGTGTGGGGGACAGCCACTCGATGGCTCAGAATGGCTGAGATTTCGAAAAGTTTTTTTTGGTGAAAACCCTGGGGTAGGGGGGCAAAAATGCCGAAAAGACAGTGCGAGACTTAGCTAGCTATTTGGCCAGCTACATGTAGCTCTTTTTAGCTATTTATCACTCATTCCACGAAAAGTGTCACAGATTTGGAACAATTTCTGGGGGAAAGAGTCGATCCCATGACAGTAGAAGAGGGATCAGAGTTTTCTTGTACGGAGGCTGCTTGTGCTGCGGTAAAATTAGATGCTGCTACCGCAGGAAAACCCGTGTATCAGTCGCACCGCAACGGACTGACTGTCCGGTGCGCTCACTGTGACCCAGTAAGGCATGGATTCATGACGGCAACGACTTCAGAATGTACGTACTGTGATAGGCACACAATGATGGGCAAAACGAGTCACTGCGAGTGCTGGATCTGCTCCAGCCTGGAGTGGGCAAAAAGTTTGGATAAAGTGCTGGAATGGGCAAAAAGTTCGAAAATAGTGCTGGAATGGGCAAAAAGTTTGGAAATAGTGCTGGAATGGGCAAAAAGTTTGGAGATAGTGCTGGAATGGGCAAAAAGCTTGGAAAAGGTGCTGGAATGGGCAAAAAGTTTGGAAAAGGTGCTGGAATGGGCAAAAAGTTTGCGATAGTGCTGGAATGGGCAAAAAGTTTGGAAACGGTGCTGGAATGGGCAAAAAGTGTGCGAGAGTGCTGGAATGGGCAAAAAGTTCAAAAAGGTGCTGGAATGGGAATTGGCCCCCCCTACAGCTCTCGCAGCCCCACTACGCGACCAGGGCCGCAGCGGAGCCAGGGGGCGCAGCAGCCGCGTATGCTGTTGCCGTCAAGGAGCGTGTCTACAACAGGATCATCGCAAATGAGCCGGACCCGCGGGAGTGGCGAGCGGTGCCGCTAGTTGTAGACACGTTCGGGGCCTGGTGCCCAGGAGCAATCACGGAGCTGCGGCACATCGCCCGCGCGAACGCCCTCCGTGAAGACCGGACCGCTTCGGCCGCCTGCCAGGACCTCTTCCACCGCTTGAGCTTTTCTATAGCCCAAGGGGTGGCGAGGATCGTAATTGCATCTGGTGGGGCGCGACCGGACGAAGCGAATCCACCCTGAAGCAGGGGGAAGAGTCACTGCATCGCGGGTTTTTTTACCTGGTCGGACCTGCACTCAGATGCAGGCCAGCCCAGGTCGCAGTGAGGTGGCGTTCACTGTGTGCTGAAGAAGCATTTCTTTGGACTACCGCTCCGGAAGCAACCGGATACCGGCAGCCCCGCTGTACCAACATGGCAAGTACAGTGTCCCGCGCTCCAAAAAAAAAAAAACAAAACTTGCACTCCAGAAAGTACGTGCGCTCGGCTAAGGCCGGCGCGTGGCGAGACTGGAGGCAGCAGTTAAAGTTCGGGGAACAGCAAAGTTCGGGCGAAGCTAAGTTCGGGCAATGCTAAGTTCTGGTGAAGCAAAGTTCGGGTGAAGCTAAGTTCGGGCGAAACAAAGTTCGGGCGAAGCAAAGTTCGGGCGAAGCTAAGTTCGGGTGAGCAAAGTTCTGGTGAAGCAAAGTTCGGGCGAAGGTGAAGCTAAGTTCGGGCGAAACAAAGTCCGGGCGAAGCTAAGTTCTGGGTGAAGCAAAGTTCGGACGTTCTGGTGAAGCTAAGATCGGGCGAAACAAAGTTCGGCGAAGCTAAGTTCGGGTGAAGCAAAGTTCGGGTGAAGCTAAGTTCTGGTGAAGCAAAGTTCGGGCGAAGCTAAGTTCGGGTGAAGCAAAGTTCTGGTGAAGCTAAGTTCGGGCGAAACAAAGTTCGGGCGAAACAAAGTTCGGGCGAAGCAAAGTTCTGGGCGAAGCTAAGTTCGGATGAAGCAAAGTTCTGGTGAAGCAAAGTTCGGGCGAAACAAAGTTCTGGGGGAAGCTAAGTTCTGGTGAAGCAAAGTTCGGGCGAAGCTAAGTTCGGGTGAAGCAAAGTTCCGGTGAAGCTAAGTTCGGGCAGGGTTCGGGACGTGGATCCACGTGGAAATGGAAATCGTGGAAATGGAAATCGTGGAAATTTCCACGGATTTCCACGTTCCACTGCCGCGCCGGTGAAATTATCAATTCCGCCAGTTGGGGTTTTTTGACGACTTGCCCGACTGTGGAGACACATTTTCAACCACCATTTTGACCTTCTGGGGCTCAAAACCCATGGTTCACCTTTTTAGCGTTTATTGTGGTTTAGAGGTTCGGTTTTTCTCGGTATCTGCAGGTTAGCCCTCGGAGAAAAAAAAAAACGGAAGACAAAGAATCCGGCCGCGGTACCGGGAACCCACAGGGTAGAATAACAGCGGAACATGGGTGGTAGACTCGACATCATCAAAACGATGGTGGCCAACGGTGCCAAGCAGCACCCCCCAAGCAAGAAGAAGACGAGATGGGGTTGAGAGCGGAAATTGGAAAAGAAAATGGAATCATGATGGATTCGCTGAATTAGAATCAGAAAAGACTCCGGATACATTCGTCGTTCTCGCTGTCAGTGTCACTCTCCGGAATACCGGGAATATCCAACTGCAGCACCTCTGTGAGAGTTGTGCTTCTGGTTTCGGCAACGAGAGCCTCACTTGCTTCAAGGTCGACCTCGTTGAGGCCATCAAGTGTCTCATCCTGAGACTCAGTATCGAGGGAATCACTACAGGTAGGTCCCGGGCTCGGGATGGAAGGCTCATCAGTCGGGCCTGTTCGCAGCGCAGTTGCAAGCGTAGCCTGTGCTCGCTGTGTGCGCTTCTCGGCCCGCACCTCTTGGTTAGACTCTGGATAGAGCTCACTGTTCAGCAACCTATGGTTGATGGCAAGTGTGAGGGACGCGTTCACGTTCTCAACCGAGAGCTTTGCCCTCAGTTTTCCAATAACGGCAGACAGAGTTTTGAAGTGCCGCTCGACAGCGGCTTCGCTGGTCGTTGCTCTTCCCAGCGTTCTTGCAAACAGACTGAGAAACTCGCTCTCGTCACGCATGGCCAACTCATGATTGGTCCAGAAGTGTACATACCCGTGCTTGATCGGGTGTCCGTGCTGGTCTCGAGGCCTGTTCCGGAACTCACTGTACGCTGCCTTGGACTGCATTAGGAAAGATCCCAATGCCCGGCTGTCGGGTATTCTTCGGGCAATAAAAGGTGACAGATGCCGAGAGAGCAGCTTCCATCGCTTTGCTCTCACTGCACTTGTCACCTCGTCGGCCGTCTGATCGACGTTCGGATGCAGTAATTTTAGCACGTCGAGTGCTGGGAAAGAAAAGTTCCGTTTGACCCTGTAGGACCATTTCTCAATGGCTCTGTTGATTACGCTAAGTTCACTCGGGCACTGTGAGTAGCGAGCTTTGAGACGTGCCAGGTCCAACGCAATACCGTCGATAATCTCGTGGAGCTCGAGAAGACCGTTTCCGGAGTTCTTCTGTAGCTTGTCGGTTGCAATTGCGAAGGGGGCCAGGGCATGCAAAAAAAAGGAGAGCTGGCGGCGGAACGTTGCAGTAACGTCGGGAAGGTATGTGGAGTCCTTGTCATAGACACGCGCAATGCTCAGCGCAGTGTCGTAGACACTGTTCCAACGCACTGCAGTTGGATACCTGACGCCAACAGGGTTTCTTTCGCCGGCGTTGATCTGTTTTTGCCGCAAATCATACTTTTCCGAGGGCTTTCTGTACTTTGCTGCGAGCTGTATTACTGAGGT